CTAAGGCAAAATGGAGATGGGGCTTGGCCCCCCCGCCTCCCGCTCAAGGGCTCTTCTGCCAGGGAGCAAGGATGAGGACCAGCTCCCAGAGCTGGAGCTGCCAGGAGCTCTGCTCTGCAGCATCCCGCATCTGTTTCCATGGGGACACAGAGGCAGCGATTCAGCAGGCCTGATCCTGCCTGTGCCTGGAGAAATACCAGCCAGGAGCCATTTCAGCCAAGGAGCTGGATTTGAGGCAGGTGAATCCAGGCAGGAGCCAGCAGAGATACCTGTCCTGGCACACTCCCCTTTGGGCAGCAGCTGGAGCATCTCCACACCCATGGGCTCACCCACCCCGGGACACAGCTGGGCACCCCCAGCCTTCCTGCACAGAGGCTTCTCCTCCCTCCCTCTTCCTGCTGCCCATATTGCATCCCCACAGGATGTCTCCTGAACTCGCCTCCCCCGTGTCCCGAGGGGGTACTCGGGTCTGGCATCGGAGGGAAAGATGCCGGTAAAGCAGGTGCTGATAAATAGGTCAGCAATTCATCCCCCAGCACGGCCTGTTGGGGCTGGCACGGTCCTGGGAGCATCATAAGTGACATTAAAAGCCACAGCCAAGCACAGGAGCCCTCCTGTTGCTGGTGAGAGAACGGGCCAGCAGCGAGGTCTGGGACAGCCATTGCATCCCCATGACTCCCAGACCCACTTACAGTGACTCCAGGATCAAAATGGGATGAAGCGTTTTCATTTTGGGTAAAGATTTCCTACATTTAGTTAGTTAGGAAGCAGCCATCAATGTCCCTGCCTTCTACAGGGCTCCAAACTCTCTCCCCATCTTCCCCTCATGCTCCTCACCAACCTTGTGGAAAGCCATTACCAGGAAGCAGCTTTGAAGTCCCAACTTTATTAAGATTGATTCCGCCTGCCTCCAGTTTTGACAAGTCCAAAGCAAACATGCAGGGCCACGGGGAGATTTGGTAATAATTACCATCTTTAATTACTACTAAAACATCAATTGCTCTTGTTCAATTAGTATCAGAGATCCAGGCATGGCAAATTTTGTAGCACAGAATAAGCTGAAAATTGATTTCCGAGCACTTAACGCAGATCCCAAACTGCAAACCTGATAAGGGGGCGCTGGCAGAGCGCGGGCACCGATGGAGCGGCTCCGGAGCAAGATTGATAACTCTAGACTTACATCGTGGGCACTGAGTGGGAGCGACTCAGGAGGGGAGCACAGGGGAGGGGACAGCGCAGTGACGAGCACAGGAGCAATTAGAGATGAAACTACTGGTGATGCCACGGAAAAGGGGCACAGGAACTCCACTCTCGCTGATGCGGTGCCACCCACCACGGTCATCACAGAATCATTTAGCTGCTTCCCACAGATACCCACTGCCCAAAGCCCAGCCAGGACACACCAAGGGCCTTACTGTCATTAAAGATGAGCATTCGCACCAGAATTCCAAAACTCCAGCGTTCCAGATTCACAAACAGCCAATGTCTTCCCTTCCATTCCCAGCGAGGAAGAGGAGGAGAAGGGTCCAGCTTCCTCGCCCCAGCACCCCAAGCGGGAGGGAGCAGCTAATTGCTGCCGAGATGGGCAGAGCCATTTGCATAATGAGGTGTGAAAGGGATGTTTAGCTCATGTATTTTTTAGAAGGTTTATCTTTCATTTTATTTAGCCTAAGAAGGGCACGTCACTCAAAGCGGCGGTCATTTATAAAGACATTTCCACTGTGCCTGCGCAGAGCTGTCTCCAGGCCTAAGTGGCTGCTCTGACCAGCCTCGAATACTAATGGCAACAGCACACGAGCAAGGGATGAGGCTGCTCCCTTTCTGGTATTCCCATGTGCAGCTTTGTGGGGAAAAATCTCCAACTTCCCCCTTGTGAGCAGCAGGTTTCTCTCTGCAGCCTCCTGAGCACCATCCCCACGAGGGAATTACAAGACTGAAGTGCCAGGTGCCCGTGGAAGCCCACGCAGGTGGTGTCTGAGCAAAGCTTTGAGCCAAGGCTGCCCCGTGCAATTTAGAGAATCTGCCTTTGCTGTAGTCAATGAGCAAATGAGTTCTCTGGATCCCCTCCAGCCTGTCCCAGATGTATCCAGTGCCCCAGTGCACAGCTGGGGAGGCAGCTGGGACCCTGTGGTACCCCCAGGATTGCCCTGTCCCATCAGGCTGCTGAGCAGGACCCAGCGGGCATCAACAGCGACCTGGCACAGCACATCTCACCAGCTGGTTTTCCTTCAGCACCAAGGCCTTGCAGCACCCCATTGTTAACCAACACCCTCCCCAAAACTTCTTGAGACACAGCATCTACCCACACCCCAAAGACAGGGCTTTCTCTCGCCAAATCCTGGAGCCAAACAGGCAAACGACTGCAAAGTCATGCAGAGGGACCAGCTGCCCACTTGCTTGGCGTATTTCCTCCTCTCTTTCATCTGCTTTCCCTCCCACACTGCCTCCCCTCCCACTCCTGCCCACAGCTTAGAAGGAGAAGCTCATCTCAAGCACTGAAAGCCAGAAATTCGCTGTGTGCCTTTGTCCCCGCCACAGGTGGCTCCGGGGACCTTTTCCACATTGTCCTTGCTGCCACACAACACAGCCCCCATTGTTCCTCCCACGCTCCCTGGAAGCCTCTCGAAGCGACCACCCCTGGGCTGTGCCAGGGTGTGCTGACGTGTGGCAGCACCACATCCCTCCCCAGCATCCCGAGGTGCCCCTGCTGCAGCGCACAGCGCACCCAGGCAGAGACCAAACACACGGACACAGAGCCGGGTATTTCTCAGCTTGGAACCGTTTCACCCTTCGCAGCACGGAAACAGAAAGCAACAGCTGCCCAGGGAAGGCCCATGTTCAGGGCTGCACCTCCCCCTTGCCAAAACACACAAACTTTCCTTTTACACAGAATTTCCACAACTTGCCCGGGGTTCCTGCAGCAGCGAGCATCTCCCATCACCAGCAGCACACGCAGATCCCACGCAGCCCCGGGCCCTGCAGCCCCGAGCTGGGTGGGGCCACCCCTATTTAAAAGCTCTGGAATAGCCCAATTGTCGCCGGGACAGGCCCGGTTCTAACAACAGAACTCAGCTCAGGTAGAGCTGGTGAACCCGGCACGCACAGGTGCCCCCGAGCTGGAGAGAGGGCTCCAAACTAATTAGCACACGCACAGCCGCTCATTACTATTATTACTATGACATTATTAATTTCCCCACCTCTCATCTGCACCTTTTCGGTGGCTTCATTTCAATCTGCTTCAGCATCGGGGAGATGGAAATTAAACCCAAGTGTTTATCCTGGAGTCACACAGCCCTTCCCCTCCTCCTGCCGCTCCATCACACCCACTCCTCGTGTGCCAGGGGCTCCCAGCGTTCCCAGTCCGGCTCAGAGCTGGCATCCATGGCCCCAGTTCACCCCATAAATGGGGACTGGGTACCTGCAGGGCAGCAGCCAGGCAGGGAAACAGGATGCAGCAGCCCAGATCTATTTGTTGGGAGTCATCAGGTACTCTGGGCGATCAATCTATTACCATAAACTTAAGCTTCCAGATTCTTTCATTTTAAATGAATTTTCACATCGTACTTCCAAAAGAGCTCTGCCTCCAGTCAGCTCCCCTTTATCTAATAAAGCTATGCAAATATTTTGTTATATTTCAATGAAATATGTCGAAAACTATTACCCAGTGCATTATCTCAGCATCAGCAGGGAGGCTCTGGTCTCTGCCATGAGCAGGCTGTCACTCACTGAGCCCTGAGGTGACAGAGGATGAATGTCCCCTGCCCCTCAGCCGCCTCTGTGAAGGTCACCTGAGGCAGGTAGTGCTGCCATGGGGCCAGGGGGCTCAGAGGGGGCAAAAGGGACATGATGGCACTGAGCACGTGCTGCTCCGCTCTCCCAGGGCACGAGGTGGGAGGAGGTGGCAGCTCCCCTGGCACCCAGCTCTGCCCAAGCCAGCCAAAGGGCTGAGGCACTTGGATACACACCTTGCTGCCTTTGATTTGCAGCAGGTACTATTCTTCAGTCCTCCCTTCCCTCCTCTAGACTTGTTATTGCCAAAGGACACAATGTGCCAGCCCACCCCCAGCCCCCTCTCCTGATCTCAGAACTTGCCTTTATAGATTTATTTTTTAAAAAGCACTTTTATATTTTTAATTGGTATTCTGCAAACTCGGAGCCTTCCCCAAGGAGCTGGGATGTTTGTCTTCAAAAAAGCCTTTCTTTTCCCAACAAATTTTTTAAAGTACAGATTTTGCTGGCACGGATGAATGAGCTGCCACGTGCCCCCCGTGACCTGCCCGCAGACGAGGCGGCTTCTCCCGCTCCCAGGCTCTGGTGTGAGGGGGAGGAGAGGCAGTGCAGCAATGCAGCAACTTCCCGGCACCAAACCCCCAGCCCGTGCCCTCCCCAGCCCCCCAGGCAGCTCCTGCCAGGTCCAGGGGGCTGGATCCCAGCCCAGGAGCAGCCTCTGCTCCCCCGGCTCCCGCTCTCCTGCGCTGGCACCAAATTAAATAACTGCAACTCCCTTTTTATTCTCCATTTGACAGTAACGTATTGCAAATGCAGCTGGTTTTGACATCCTAATATTCAGGCTTGTACCCCTTGGGATAAACACGTCATCTGTTATCTGAGCAAATGATTTGCACCGGGACAGCAGGGAGCAGGGAAGCAGAGCAGACAGGCGGAGCGGGGACGGGGCAGAGAGCAGTGCCCAGCCCGGCCGTGGGCCTGCCCGGGGCTGCCATGGCACCCTGGTGGCCCTGGGAGGGCTGGGGACACGTGTCCTCCCCTGCCAGGGACAGATGTCCCCATGACCCAAGAGTGGGATTCACTGGCTTTTATCACACCAATGTGGGTCACATCCTGACAGCCCAGTGCACAGGGCACGGCTGAGCGCCCACTGTGATTAGCAGGGTGATGGCACTGCTGCCACCAGCAGGGTGAGGGCACAGCTCCAGCTCCTGTCCCTCCTCGAGTGCTGCCTGGCTGCCTGTGATCCACTGGGAAGGCAGCCAGGAGCCTGGAGCAGAGGGTGGCTCATGGTTAGTCCCACCTGCACCCTCCCCAGGCCACACCCAGGGATGTGCAGATCCTTGTTTGATCTGTCCAGAGTCAGTGCAGCGGCTGCACAGAGCAACTGGGAGCACTGGGAATTCCAGCTGTGCCTTTTCCCGTGCCTGTTTCTTTTCAGACCATTACAGCTCTACCCACTCACCACTGCTTCCCATGAACAGGCTGGCAGGGCTTAGGCGATATCAAAACCCCATTGATTGTTTTGCTCTGTGTTTAAGGAATAAAAGTGGTGGAGCTTTCCCAGAAATCCTTTGAGCAGCAAGACACAACCACAGCTCGGGGCTGAGTGCAGAGCAAACGTAGGGGTTTATTTCTCTTCTCTTTATTTCTCTGGACTTGCTCTGCAGAGGAAAATGATTGTGGATGTTATTTAATCAGAGGCAGGAGCTGATTCCTGACTACCCGACTTCCTGCTGTAGCTGATAGCTGCCCTCCCACTGGCTCTAATCCAGGTATCCATGTGGTGCCCCCAGTGCCCTGCTCCAGCTCCATCACCTGCAGAACCACCTGCATCCCCTGGCCATGATCCCGTGTCAGCACTGTGCTGAGTGCTGCAGGACCTGCTCCCACCTGGAGGATGTGGTGCCCCTGGAGCATCCTGGGAGCTGCCAGGCATCCTCAGCCCAGGCTCCTTGAAGGGGACACCAGGGTTGAAGTGATTTCACACCAAACTCCCCATCCTCTCACCCCATGCTGCCACCTTTCCAATTCCCCTTCCCGCTAGGCACCAGGCTCCGAGGGGGGAACTTGGCACGAGGTTTGGAGATTTATGTTAAAATCTGCAGGAAGACGCTTGGTGCCTGTGAATATTCCGTAGGAGGAGATGGATTAGTGACTGAGACGTATCTGAAGGGATTTGTGAGGAATTATTTATGGTGGTAACAAGTAAGCACTCATTTAGCTTATATTATACATTATCCAAACAAGGCGTTGAGCTCTGGAAGTTAAGGCAGTAATGCCACTCCAAATTAAATTCATCAGTGCCTTAATTAAGATCTATATTTAGTTGTTAATTAAGGGGAGTGAGCAGAGGGTTGGATGCTGCGTGAGGAGCGATGCTGCGCAGCGAGGAGCGCGCGGTGGGCACTCGGCGGGTCGGGGCCTGCTTGGCAGGATGAAGTTTGGGAGGGAAAAGTTAACTTGGAGGGCCGGGAAGACACGAGCAGCGGACACGGCTTCCCTCTCCCACCTCCCCTGCACCCGCCTCATCAGCGGCTACAGCGCGGCTTTGATCCCAGAAATCAAACCCTGTCTGATGGGTGACTGGATGTTATGCTAATCCAGGTTGATTGAGCTGAGATAATTACACTTCATCCAGGTTTCCTGGGAGTTTTGAATAAATATTGATGCACAGCTGTCCCCCTGCTCAGGTACCTGAAGTGGAGAGCTCTTCTGTGGCTCCAGGTTTGCCTTGTGCCAATGGACAGGCTGGGAACGGGACCAGCGGTGGGGCCAGGGACACCAGTACCCACTGGTGGCCCTCCTGGTGCAGGAATCATATCTAAGCTCTCTTTCAAGTTGCTGTGGGCTGATCATGCCTTCTCCCTACCCAAAATAGCTGAGCACCTGGCCGGGGGGCCCTGGCCTGTCCTCCTTGAACCTTCACCAGGGTGTTTTCCAGGGCCACTCCTGCCCAGGATGCTGCAGGAGAGGCAGCGGCACCGAGATCCTCGGTCTGCATCCCTGGGACAGGCAAGGAGCAGCTGGAGCCTGCGGCCAGGAGCCATCTGAGCTGACTCTGGAGCAGGAGACACAAGAAAACAAGCAAATCAAATTATACATTCCTGGGAAGCATTTATAAGCTGTGTGCATTCTTTAATCTTAATTAGAAATCTTAGCAGCTCCTGCCGACTCTGTAATCAACGCTGGAGCACGGCTGACCCCCATCGTGCTCACCTTGAGAGTCTGGAGCAGGTATTTGAGGAGGGAGCTGGGGAACGAGCCGGCTCCACGTGCTCTGTGTGGTGGGGAAGCCTCGGGGTACAGAGCCGGGATCAGAGCGGAGCGGCGGGGAATGATGAGTGTTACAGCTGAGCTCTAATTAAACATCCCGCACTGACAATTCCAGGAGCCCCAAATAATCTCCTTGTTTGTCTCAATAACATCCCCATTTGCAATAAATGTGATTTCCTTGCGTGCCATCAGAGCAGGCAGCCGGGAGCTGCTGCCGGTGTGGGGGGAAGCGCCGAGCGCTGACACGGGAGAAAACAGATGCTGGTGTGGCTGCAGAGCCTGGGCTTGTTGGAAAACCAGTGACTGGATGGGTGTTGCCAGGAAAACCCCCTGTCCTGTCCACATGCCCTCTGCACACACCATCCACTGCCAGGTTATTAACGGGCAGCGCTCGCCGGCTCTTCATTAGCGTGAGGATAAAGAGCCACTCGTTTCCCCACCACGGTCCAGCTTCAGCTGAGCAAACCTGGAGAGGGATGGGCAAACAGGGAGCTGCTGGCCAGGCTTGTGGGGTTCATGGCCGTGGGAGAGCTGTGCCAAATCCCATACCCCAGTGGGGCCTGGGCTGTGCAGGACACTGGGCTGGGGGTTGGGCAGAATCCCCCCGCAGTGCTGCAGACCCTCTCTCAGCACTGCAAGCTGCTTTGCTTCTTCCAGTTTGATTCTTCCACGAGGATGATGCGAAGGATGTTTGGGCGGGGGGAGGGGAGGCAGAGCCCCTAGACAGTCAGTGCCTGCAGCAGCAGAGGAGAAAGGAAAGCAGTCCTGCCTCTCCCATCAGCTGGGGGGCTCATTTGTTCCATCATTCCAGTATTTTGGATGTCTTCCAGGGAGTTTTGCTCTGCCAGCCCCTTCCCACTGCGAGCTGCGTGCTTCCCAGCCCAGCCCCTGTGCGTGTGTATCTACGTATAGATATCTTCAGTGTGTGTGTGCAGCAGGCACATTCACAGCACACACAGACAAGCAGGGCTGCTCTCTGTTTGTACACAGAGAAAGTGATTCCCGCCTGTCTGCTCTGCCCAGCTGGAGCAGCAGCATGAGGAGGGGTGGGAGCGGAGCTGGGGCAGTTCTGCTCTGCTGACCACCACTGCTGGGTCTGGTTTTGTAGAATCACAGGATGATTTGGGTTGGAAGAGACTTTAAAGCTCATCTCATTCCACCCCCTGCCGTGGGCAGGGACACCTTCCATTAGACCAGGTTGCTCCAAGCCCCATCCAACCTGGCCTTGAACATTCCCAGGGATGGGGCAGCCACAACTTCCCTGGGCAGCCTGTTCCAGTGCCTGACCACTCTCAAAGCAAAGAATTTTTTCCTGTTTTTTCGCTGGGATGGGCCACTCTGACCCACTCTGCTCTGGGGTTCAGGGCAATGCTTCCACAGAGGCTCTGCTGGGCCCTGACTGCCCCAATTCCCACCATTTCTTTCGAGCCTGGGAATAAACAGAGCAGTGGTAATAAATGAGAGGCACCATCCTGGCACTCCTCGTGTAATTGCAGTTATTTAATAACCTCCTTGTGACTTAAGCAAGGCAGCCAAAAATCCTTCCCTCCGAGGGGACCGCGCTGGGTACTGCATCCTGCATTGCCACTTGCAACAGCTAATAAGCAATAAAGCCCAAGTTTTAGCAATAATTAAAGCTCCCAGTGGCTCCTGAGTCCTTGGCACTGATGCAGCCACCCCGCAGGGAGAAGGGGAGCAGTGCCACCTGTGATGTCCCTCCTGGGCCGTGGCACACACAGTGCCGGCTTGCCCGCGGATGCCAGAACATCACCCCATGACACCCTGCCCTGCCAGACCCCGGCTCCCCACCTGGTTTATTTTATTAAGCCCCCTCAGAACAAGCAGAACTCGCAGAACTGTGATCTGCTCCATCAGTTGGATCTGGTAGAAACTCACAGACTAATTAAGTCGTGTCCCTCCCCGCCCGCCACAGCCGGAGCGCTGCAGGGAGGGCAAGTGGGACCCGGCACGGTGCCATCCTCCCTGGTCTCTGCAGTGCCCCACGGCGTGGGGTGCCCCCAGGAACCCCCCCAGCCTCTCCAAATGGAGCAGGGAAAGTAGGATGATTTGTTGACATCTCTGCTTCTGGTCATAATAAAAATAAATAAATAAGGGGGGAGAAAAATCCCTGCGAACATGAGTAATGGCCCAGGAATGAGCAACCCAAGATAAAACTGAATAATAACATGTCAAAAACTACACGATGTGGGTTTTTATTCCCCAGCGGAGTTTCCTTCCTGCTAATCCATCACTGTAGAAGATGCAAGATTACTGCTTTCAGAAAAAACTCCGGGAGATAAATGTGAGTAAATTAGGGTTTATTATATTATTTAGGACGATATAATTTCCAAAGTTCCTTTATTAAATTATTTATGCCCTTGGCGGTGGCTCAGCTGGGCAGTGGCCCTCCCTGGCAGCATCCCCCTGTGCCGGGTGGCCGTGGCAGGGACAGCAGCAGTGACACAAAATCGTGTCCCATCAGCAGGGATGGTACCCTGGGTGGATCCATGGAATTGCAACGTCCTGCCTGGATCCTGCTCCACAGCCCCCTGAGGGGTGGCATCTCCCAGGACATCCGAGAGGGGCAGCAGTCCCTGGGGGCTCCCTGCTGCTACCAAATGCAACACACCGACGTGCCCCATCCCACTCCCCTCCCTGCTGGCACTTAAACAGGGAGCTGGGCGCTCTTCTGGAAATTGCAGCAAAATTACAGCCCCATCCATAATGAAAGGCTTGTCCTCCGGAGGGGAGGCTGGCAGGAGCCAGCCGTCCTGCTGCAAGACAAATGTAGCCTGTATTTAAATCCGGCGGTGGAGACGCTCACCGGTGAGCGGCCGCTCCAGCAGCACACGGCACAGCCCGGCGGACGGGCCACGGGGCCGGGACAGGTGAGGCAGGTGGGGAAAGGCGAGCTTTGTCATGGCTGGGAAGGGAGGCTGCTGGCAGGAATTTAACATGCTTAATGAGCCATCCCAATCCTCCAGTTCAGGAGCTCTGATTCCCCCAGCCGGCAGCGTCACCCAGCATCCCAGACGGGAATGCCACGCACCAGCCCTGCCACCTCCATGGATACTCCCAGCCCTCGCCACAGAACCTGCTGGCATCGTCACCAGAGCCGTGGTGCCCACCACCAGAGCAGCCACGTCATGCCTGCCATCCTCTCCTCAGCGCCGGGAGCTGCCGTGGCATCCCTCCTCGTTAGCTCCCGGCCCTGCCGGCCGGCTAACGAGGCCGGAGCTGACAGAGGAGGATTACCCGCTCCCAGGAAGCCGGCGTGATTGTGTTTACTCCAGAACCTGGGCCGATTTAGTTGTCGGTGCGCATCATTAATCTTCTTCTACAATCCCTTCCCCATCTGCTCCCACTTTTTAATGAACTGCCACTTGCCACACTCAATAAAATCAACACTTTCCCAGGATCGCAGCAAGAGGGGAAGCGAGAAGCAAGGCAGGGAGGGAGGGACGCAGATAAAGAGATGCACTTTGCTTTGGGAAGGTGTTTTCTCATCTACATGGGCAAACAGAGCACAGCAGCCCTCCCTGAGACACTTTTGGCTGCCTTGCCCCGAGCCAGTCACAAATAACCACATCAGACTGCGCTGAACGCGAGCCGTACAACGCCAAGTGTCAGCCCAAGTTTGATCCCAGCTCTGCTGTTCTACACAATTATTTTCAGCGCATCAATACTGCAGGCGGCACCGAGATTGTAGTTTTCCAGCTTGCTGGCAGCTCTGGGGATTCATCCGATATCAGGCTATTACCTTCTGATTACTTTCCTTGGCAGCCAACCCGTTTGGAGCTGGCAAATAAACAATAGGGAAGAGTGTGATGGGGAGCTTAGCTTTCAAATTACACTTTTCAATCATTTGTCACACCAAAGGTATAATGAGTGTTTCATACAAAACTCAAAAGGCTGCGGGGCTGGGGGGGGCTCCACTTAATGTGGAGGGTGCCGGGTTTGGGTGGAGCTCAGAAACTCCATTCCCATTTCTCAGAGTTTTTGTTTGTGGATGTGGCCAGCCCAGCTGGGCAGGACCTGCTGGAAAGCCCTGTGATAGGTGAACGAGCCAGAACCCCCAGGGATGGGGAAGGACAGGGCAGGTGCCATCCCAACACACCTCCAGTGACCTCCCTGTCCCTGGCAATGGGAAGGGCTGGAACACCTACACTAATCCTTAAGCATTTGTCCCTTAAAATTACTCAGGACCAGAGAATCTCATGTTAATGTGGATCTAATGTAGAAATCCATATGAGCCATTGGGTATTAATTAAATGCCATCACTCTATTGATATTCCTGGTGTTTATTGCTCCTGCAATTAGCACCGAGCCTGCACTGCTGTGGCACTGCCCCCTGCACGGAGCATCCCCCGGGCACCCAGCAATGGGGCCCCAGCCCTGCCCCTTCCCGACAGCCACCTCCCGCCCTGCACAAAGTTTCCACAGCAGGCTCAGAGGAGAAGCTGCTTTGGGAGTCAGGATGCTGCTGCCTCGCTCCCTGCATCCTCCCCCGAGCTGTTCCAGCCCTGTCTCCCTCCTCAGCTTGCAGTCCCACTGCCCACATGTCAGATGAGAGCAAGGAGTAGAAATCGCTCCTTAAAGTTCACAACCCGTCACTCCAGCTTTCAGAAATACAAGCAAAAATGGCAAAGCAGTAGGGGGAAAATCCATTTCTTTCGAGATGATCTTTCCCTGGAACATGTCCTGTTGATCTGCAGTCAGGGAAAGGCGAGTGTGTTTGTCTGAGATAGGGGAATCAGATCTGTCTGAACTCTCCTCTGCTCCAAA